TAGCGTTGCGGGGAAAAGGCTCGAAATCCCGAAAGATTCGTTCAAAGGAGGCTGCATTATCGATACAGGGTCGCCTTTCAGTGTGTTGGAAGAACGGGCTTATCGGGCCTTTGTGAGTGCCGTCTCGGGCTATTTCGAGCAGTTCAAGAATGTGAAGAAGCTCGTGACAAGAAGGTACCCGAAGAATCTGTGCTATAACTATCCTAGAGACATCGGGAAGTTTCCGAGCGTGGTGTGGCATTTCGAGGGGGCTGACCTGGAAGTTAACGGGACGAGCCTGTTTTCGTTAGGGAGTAACTTTGTCATGTCGAATTTCGTCTGTTTGCAGTTTTTCGGGGCGCCCGAAACAAATGTCTTGGGGGCTTATCAGCAGCAGAATGTGAGGTTTTTGTATGATTTAGTGAATGAGAAGCTGTCATTTGTTAAAGAGGCTTGTTAGGGGAAAAAAGTTTAGCTTCAGTTCATCCCTAACATTAATGTATCCTTGTCTAAATGAAAAAACTGGAAAAAGCAAATCTCATTTGCTGCAAACAGCCCCATGACTTTTTTACTGCCTCTTTCTGTTTGTAAATTAAATATATATTGGCAAGATTTGAAGTATTTGAAAGACAAAGTTCAAGATTAGAGCTTCATTATGTCGAAACATATTTACTACTTCTCTATGTATATATTCCATCACAACAAATACATAAATCTTAACCATGGCTACACCATTTCCCTCTTTTCTTCTCATTTTACTTCCCTTATCTCTCCTCCATCATTCCCTCTCTCTCGCCTCGAGTCTCGACTCGAGATCGGCCGCAGGTTTCTCCCTAAAACTCACACGGCACGAAATCACCACCTTATCCAAAAACTCGACACCCGCAAACTATTTCCCGAACACAATCCGACCAAGAATCACGATAGGTCGAATTCCATTTTCACAATCGAGGCCACCATCGGCACACCTCCCGCCAAAAAGTCCTTCATTTTCGACCCGGTTGCGAACTAACCTGGACACAGTGCACTCCATGCATAAAGTGTTTCAAACAAGACTACCCCTTATTCGACCCGAAACAATCCAAATCCTTCCAAACGCTCCCTCAAAACCACCCGTCGGCAAAATACTTCAGACGATCGGAAAACGGAAGCTTCATTTTCCATCTATTGTATGTTTCCGGCGAGTCGGCACGCGGCACAGTCTCGATCGAGACTTTTGGCTTCCCATCACACAAGAAACGAGCAACCGAGAGCGTGAAAAACGTAGTTTTTGGATGCGCGCATAATCAGATAGGACGATTTACGAGTTCGGTTACTGGGATCATGGGCATGAGCAGATCCCCTCTCTCGATGTTTAGCCAAATGGGCCCGCTCGTCAAACGGTTTTCTTACTGTCTACCTCATATCAGTTCTCCTGTTAAGACAACGTTTTTAAGGTTCGGAAATGACGTCAAGGGCCGAACCTACGGAAAACGAGTTTTTTGAACCACATCGACTACAACTACAGAGTGCCATTGCTCGACATAAGTGTTTCAGGCAAGTGACTCAGGCTATGTTTGGTAACCAAATAAGTTAGCTTAAAGCTTATTTGGTTATCTTATAAGCTTCAAGTATTCAAATATGCTTCGTTTGGGTAGCTTTTTGGGTAGCTTTTCTGGGTAGCTTCTCAAATAACCTCGTTGAAAATTTTATTTCAACTAACTTATCAGCTAATTTTACCAAATACTTTTACCATATAAGCTAGTTTTCGGGTATAAGTTATAAGATACAAGCTCAAAAATCACTTATAAGCTATCAGCTATTTTTAAGAATATTTGCATGAGCCACATTAATCACAGGGAAACGTCTGAATCTACCGGTTGGGACCTTCTCGGGAGGCTGCATGTTGGATGCAGGTTGTGGCGAGAGCGTGATCGAAATCCGAGCATACAACGAAATTCGGAGGGTGCTCATACTGTATTTCGAGAAATATAAGCTGACGAGGATAACTGGTGTCTCGAGCGGCTTTCTGGCTGACTCGTTCTGCTATCGGCTTCCTCGAGGATTCAGAAGCTACCCGAACATGACCTTTCATTTCCAGAATGCTGACTTGGACATGGGGCCCGCAAATCTGTTCCACGTCGAGGGGGACAGATTTTGACTGGCGATGATTGGGATGCATAATATGACAATACTCGGCTCGTATCAGCAGCAGAACGTGAGATTCGTTTACGATGTCAGTTATCAGAAGCTGTTTTTCAGTAAGGAAGATTGTTCACTTGACAGAGCTTGAGAGTTACTGAAAAAACTATGTCAAGGTCAGGCTATAAAATTATGACTTGAAAGTGCATGTAATAAGTAAAGTGGTGGTCATAAAATGTAAGGACAAAAAATCCATTTTCTGATATTGGACAAAAATTATAACTTGAGTGAATTTCACCTGATCCAACAGAGGTCTTAACCGTCAAATCAATACACACCTGCGTTTCGAACGGTTAAAACCCCATGAGGGCAGTCGCGGTAGGAAAAAAATCTACCCTTGCTCGATAAAATAAAATTATACATTACTCTCTGTGACTAAGATTAACAAAAATTGCTTCAGAAAGCAGCTGTGAACTGGTATGTAGCTGAATACTGAGAACATAAATGTGCGAGTAATTTACTTTAAAAGCAGTTCATATAACTAAAGGTTCCTTTTTTTTCTTCCCTCAGTCGAAAAATACAAATGCTATCAGATAATACATGAGAGCTGAAGAACAGGACTGAAAAAAAAAAAAAAAA